GAGACACGGAGCAGGCACAGCGAGAACCGAGAGAAGGAGACAGAATAAAACGGTAGAGTCAAGGGAGACAGCAGTGAGACACATACAGACACAAAGAGAGACACAGAGAGAGAGAGACAGACAGACAAAGGCTGATACAGAGAGAGACAGACAGAGAGAGTCAGACAGAGAGAGAGATAGACAGACACAGAGACACACAGAAAGAGACACAGAGAGACAGACACAGAGAGACAGACACAGAGAAACAAACACAGAGAGACAAACACAGACACACAGAGACACAGACAGACAGATACAGACAGACACAGACGGACACAGACAGAGAGACAGATACAGACAGAGACAGGCAGACAGAGACAGACACAGTGAGAGACAGAGAAACAGAGACACAGAGAAACAGAGACACAGAGAGAGAGACACACAGACAAAGACAGACACAGAGCGAGAGACACACACATACAAAGACGGACACAGACGGACACAGACAGAGAGACAGACAGAGACAGACACACAGAGAGAAACAGACACATACACAGAGACACAGAGAAACAGAGACACAGAGAAACAGGCAGACAGACAGACACAGTGAGAGACAGACACATACACAGAGACACAGAGAAACAGAGACACAGAGACACAGAGAGAGAGAGACACAGACACACACACAGACAAAGACAGACGCAGAGAGAGACACACACATACAAAGACGGACACAGACGGACACAGACAGAGAGACAGACAGAGACAGACACACCGAGAGAAACAGACACATACAGAGAGACACAGAGAAACAGAGACACAGAGAAACAGAGACACAGAGACACAGAGAAACAGACAGAGAGACAGAGACACACACACAGACAGAGAGACACACACAGACAAAGACAGACACAGACAGAGAGACAGAGACAGACACACAGAGAGAAACAGACACATACACAGAGACACAGAGACACAGAGAGACAGAGACACAAAGACACGGAGAGACAGACAGATACAGACAGACACAGACAGACACAGACAGAGAGACAGACAGAGACAGACACACAGAGAGAAACAGACACATACACAGAGACACAGAGAAATAGAGACACAAAGACACAGAGAGAGAGACACACAGAGAGAAACAGACACATACACAGAGACACAGATACACAGAGAGAGAGAGAGAGACACAAAGACGGACACAGACAAAGAGACAGACAGAGACAGACACACAGAGAGAAACAGACACATAAACAGAGAAACAGAGACACAGAGACACAGAGAAACAGAGACACAAAGACACAGAGAGAGAGAGACAGACAAAGACAGACAGAGTGAGAGACACACACATACAAAGACAGACACAGACGGACACAGAAAGAGAGACAGACAGAGACAGACACACAGAGAGAGACAGATGCATACACAGAGAAACAGAGACACAAAGACACAGAGAAACAGAGACACAAAGACACAGAGAAACAGAGACACAAAGACACAGAGAAACAGAGACACAGAGACACAGAGACACAGAGAAACACAGAGAGACAGACAGATACAGACAGACAAAGACGGACACAGATAGAGAGACAGACAGAGACAGACACACAGAGAGAAACAGACACATACACAGAGACACAGAGAAACAGAGACACAAAGACACAGAGAAACAGAGACACAGAGACACAGAGAAACAGAGACACAGAGAGAGAGAGACACATAGAGACACAGAGAGAGAGGCACACAGAGAGACACAGACACATACACAGAGACACAGAGAGAGAGAGAGACACACAGACGGACACAGACAGAGAGACAGGCGCCGTCCACCTTGGAGGGCCCCGACCCCACGGCCTCCGTGCCCTCGTCGGACGTGGCGGTGGCGCCGTGCTCCCTCCCCGCCGCGCGGGACGTGCCCCTCGTGCCGTGCCGCCCCAGCTGTGCCACCTCCTCCACCTCCTCCTCCACCTCCTCTTCCACCTCCTCCTCCACCTCGTCGTCAGTCCACGACTCGCTGGGCAGGCCGGAGGCGGCGCTGCTCTCCGAACGCGCTGAGCGGGAAACGGCGACACGGGCGTCAGGGCGCGTCGGAGGGAGCGGTGGTCGCAAGGAGCGCTCCCCGTTCGACGCGTGGGACTTTCGCGGCCGACATTGTCCACGAGGTTATTTTTAAATCCTTTATATTAAGTTCACTTGCTTGCTTAGGACCGTGCAAATCTTTCGGTCGTTTTTTAACCCACTTCCCGTGATCCAATCGAGCTGACATTTTGCACACAGACTCGTTGTGCGTGACAATGCATTTTCGTGAAAAAAAATTTTCCCAAAATTTTACACTTTTTAGGGAATTTTTTTTAAATATTTAATTACCAATTGTTTAATGCTGCCAGACAATCATCTGACCCATAGGTGGCAGCCATCTCAAGCCAGAGGACGAGAGGACTCTAGCCGCCCCGATGCCACGCATATAAAGGATTTATAGTGAAAAACTTCGTTTTTACGGGTTTACTTGTTTCTTCCCTTCGTCCCGTCGCTCCTCTTCCAAACGTTCGGCAAAGGATCCTAAACCGGTGCTCTTCATTAACTTTCAGAGGAGGAGGGGAGGTGGGGGGGCGATTTTGCCGATAAACTATAGAACTAAAATGTAGATTTACATCATTGGACCTCCTTTGCCAGTACCAAAATATAATAATAGGGTTTTCCCCTTTTCTCTGGCAACAAAACCGAAACCTTTTTACAAGGATTCATGTCTGCATCAACCATAATACTTGCAGTCAAATGCAAACAAAACACACACTATGATAATATATAATGCATTGTCCTTGAAACTGATTGGTCCACACCAAGGGACGGCTTTCTTTTGAGCTTCGACGCAATTGGTGCTCGACCAGAGGACGCCAAAAGGTGTCCACAGCTCAAAGAAAATGCCGCTATCAAAGTAACGAGGGCTCGGGGTGAGCATCTACATCATTAGACCTCCTTTGCCAGTACCACAATAAAATAATAGGGGTTTTCCCCTTTTTCTGGCAACAAAACTGAAACCTTTTTAGAGCACCAATTGGATCGAGGCTCAAAAGAAAGCCATCCCTTGGTGTGGACCAATCAGTTTCAAGGACAATGCCAATATATTATCATCGTGTTTTTTTGTTTGTATTTGACTGCAGGTATTGTGGTTAATGCAGTGACATGAATTCTCGTAAAAAGGTTTCAGTTTTGTTGCCAGAAAAAAGGGGAAAAAACTCTATTATTCTATTATTATAAAATATAGATTTCTTATTTTACCAGGTAAGGCGCCACTCAGCTATAATAACAGAAGCGACCTGGCCACCACAAACGAGAGCTCACAGAACCATCGCGTGGAAATGCACAAGCGGCCAAACTCTCTAAAAACGCGCGATGCCGATTCCAAATGCCAGGAATCGAGCCCAGGCCTCGTCTTGCCGGGAGGCGCGGGCGGTCGGCACCAGCGCCTCCCGGCGTCACCTTGCGCCGTGTTAACGCCACGCGGCGCGGCGTTAATGTCACGCGGTGTTCACGTCACATCACGTGGTGTTCACGTCACGCGGCGGTCGCGCGCCCGGCTCCGTCGAGGAGGTCGCCACCTCTGGAAGACGCCGCCGGTGACTTCTCCGAGCTCTTGCCGTCGGGGAGATCCTCGGCCACGCTCGCGCTGCGCCGACCCCCCTCCTCCTCCTCCTCCTCGTTGGCCGCCGTCGTCGCGTCCTCCTCCACGGAGCTCTCCGATTGGTCGGCGCGCCGGGATCGCGATCGCTCGGAGGCGGGGGAGCGGCCGCGGGGGGCGGCCGTGTCGGCGGAGCTCGAGGCATCGTCGGCCCTGGGAACGGACGCGGCGTCAAACGCCTTGCTCCCGCGATCGAGCGACGGACGCGACTTTCCGATTGGCCGTTGTGGCCGCTAAGGCCGCCCCGTGCGTCGTCTCGCAACGGCCTCGCCCGGCTTGACGTGGGGCAGGGGTGGGGAAGCTTTTGTCTGCCAAGGGCCATTTGGATATTGATAACATCTAGATTTTAAGCTTTCGTGACCGCAAGGATTCATATTCTTGGGGTTTTTCGGTAAAGTCACGTGGGTAAAAAATTAAAATTAATAAAAGTTAAATAAAAAATAAAATTTTATTTTATTTAACTTTTATTAATTTTAATTTTTTACCTACGTGACGTTACCAAAAAAACCCAAGAATATTAATAACATCATTCGCGGGCCATACAAAATGATCAACTTTAAAATTAGCCCGTTATATTTGCTCAAACATTTCATTAACTCGCCCCTAATGTGATGGCTGGAACTGACAAATTATTTCACCCCCTGACGTAAAGAAACCCCAAAGCAGTCACCGATGAAGCTGAATGGAACCCTCAAACGGATACGACTGATCATGGGACCTTCCTTGCCAGCGTCAAAATATAGTAATAGGTTTGATACCTCTTCTTGGTTCTTTCGGTAATAATAAAATAATTCTCAAAACGTTTCGGCCACAACGCAAGCAGCGACAGAGTCTGAATGGATGAATCCATTCAGACTCTGTCGTCTCGACAGACCTGTTCTTCACCTGAGGACGGCTGCTTGCGTTGTGGCCGAAACGTCGTGAGAATTATTTAATGATGTTTTATTTTTACTATTTTATTATTTCCATTCTACGTGACTTTACCGAAAGAACCAAGAAGATGAATCCCTGCAGTCACGAAAGCTTTAAATCGAAGGTTTGATACCCTTTCTGGCAATAAAACAGGAGGTGTAAACATGTCAAAACACCAACACAGAAACCTGTTGCAAGAATTCATTTCTGCGTTGACCACATAAACTCGTGGCGAACAAATGTGGTGAAAGCTTCGTGCAAAACGGGGGGCTTCGTGACACGGGTCAGAGCCCACCCCCCTGCCCCCCCCCCACCTCCTGCCCCCCCCCCCCCCCCGCTAACCCCCCCCCCCCGCTCACCCCCCCCCCGCTAACCCCCCACCCCGCTCACCCCCCACGCTGCTGCCCCCTCCTGGGGCCGTCCGGGGAGCCGCGTGTCGCTGTTGGCGGCGCGGCCCTCGGGGGAAAGGACCTCGCCAACTCCGCCACCTGCTGCACTCACCGCACAAAGACAAAGACGCCCCGTGTAGCCTTAACAGACTGTTGGAGCAAGTGCTGTTAGCGAGCACCTACACACAAAAGACAAAGATGCCCCCGTGTAGCCTCAACAGGCTGTTGGGGCAAGTGCTGTTAGCGAGCACCTACACACAAAGACAAAGATGCCCCCGTGTAGCCTTAACAGGTTGTTGGGGCAAGTGCTGTTAGCGAGCACCTACACACAAAGACAAAGATGCCCCCGTGTAGCCTCAACAGGTTGTTGAGGCAAGTGCTGTTAGCGAGCATCTACACACAAAGAAAAAGATGCCCCCGTGTAGCCTTAACAGGCTGTTGGGGCAAGTGCTGTTAGCGAGCATCTACACACAAAGACAAAGATGCCCCGTGTAGCCTTAACAGGCTGTTGGGGCAAGTGCTGATAGCGGGCACCGACACGCACGGTGCCACCACTGGCGCGATTGTCGGTGCGACTATCGGCACCGCTAGCGCCACCGTCACCGTCACCGCCACCGTCACCGTCATCGCCACCGTCACCGCCGGCGTACCAGCACGTGCTGGGCCCGTGTCTCCTCTAGCTGCCTCTGCGCCTCCATCGCCTCGCGCTCGGCCCGCAGCCTCAGGAGCGCCAGCTCCTGCTCGTGCTGCTGCTGCCGTACCTGGGAAGGGGGGCATGGGGGGTACGGGGGGGGGGGGGTACGGGGGGGGGGTACGGGGTGGGGGGGCATGGGGGGAACCGGCCAATAGTGCGGTCGGTGCAGCGTTAACTCCGGACTTAAAACGCCAAACGGTCAGCAACAAACAGCACCATCAAAGTCGTAAATGGGTGACCGTTATTAGTACAAGGGCTTGGGGAAAAGAGACGATGACGATGGGGAGAAGGGGGGGGGGAGGAGGGAATTCCAAAGTGGATTCTACGAAGTTGTCGAGGTGCGGTCGCGATTCGACTCAAGCGTTCGGTGCGTCGTGTTTTTGGAGGATAACCGATCCCGATGCGCGCGCACGACTCCGCGTCGGCGTGCAATCGACCTGCCGGCAACAACCCAAGACCTCCTGCATACCGGGCGAGGTAGTTAACATCTTGACTTGAAGCTTTCGTGACTGCAGGAATTATCATTCAATCGATTTTCTTTCTCCGTGACTTTACCGAAAGAACCACAAAGAGTTCGCATCTCGTCACATTGGTGCCCCTATAGACCCGGGGCGAGAAAACGTCGGGGATTGTGGTCTGCGCTGTGCTAAAGTCGCCGGACCCCTTAACCACGACACAAAACCGCGACTCGCACGCAACCGTCGCGTGCGACGCAGGGGTCAGGGGTCGGGGGTCACACCTTGAGGACCTGCGCCAGGGACACGGTCTCCTGCTGCGCCAGCGCGACCCCGCGGGCGCGCTCCACCGCCCCCAGCTGATGCGCCGACTCCTCCACCGCCTGCAGCAGCTGCAGCTCGGCCGCCAGCCGCTGCGACAGCCCCCAGGGGGAGCTCCGTGCCGGGCCCCACGGCTCCTGCTGCTGCTGCCCACCGCCGCCCTCCCACCCGAGCCGCCCCCTTTCCTCGCGCGGTGGGGAGGGGGCGGAGAGGACCGGAAGCCCGTCCCGCATGCCGCTCGCAACCTCCTCCGCCCCTTCCTCCTCCAGGTCGGGCGAAATCGTTGAAGTCTTCCGTCGGCGACCTCCGACCCCGTCCGTCCACGCGCGAGGAGAGACCCGCCCTGCCGGGCCCCGGACTGGCGAGGGGAGCGCAGGCTCAGGGGGCGACGCCAGGCCGCCCGCGTCGTCGTCCTTCTCGCCGGCGGAGTTCGCCGGCGGGGGGGGTCCCTCCGCGGGGGGCACCGGCCGCTCCCCTGTGCCGCTGCCGATTCCTTGCCGATCGGCACCGTCCGGAGACCTGGCAGGGCGAGGGTCAGGGTCACGGCGCAGAGCCAGAACCGGTGCCAAAATTCGTCCAAGCTCTGCGGTCCTATTTATATAGGCGCCACGGTGGCTGGGAGATGTTAACTACCTCGCCTGGTACGCAGGAGGTCGTGGGTTCGATCCCGACCCTGACACCTGCTGCTGTATATTTGGAGTTTGCGTGTCTCTCTCATCATCATCATCACGGTGGCTGGGAGATGTTAACTACCTCGCCTGGTGTGCAGGAGGTCGTGGGTTCGATCCCGACCCTGACGCCTGCTGCTGTATATTTAGAGTTTGCGTGTCTCTCTCTCATCATCATCACGGTGGCTAGGAGATGTTAACTACCTCGCCTGGTACGCAGGAGGTCGTGGGTTCGATCTCGACCCTGACGCCTACTGCTGTATATTTGGAGTTTGCGTCTCTCTCTCTCTTACCCGGAGTCGTGTGGATTTGTCTCCGGGTCCTCCGGTTTTTTATCTCTCCACGTTTAAAATCAACGTCACGCGTTCAGAGCATGTGGCTGCCGCTATAAATTTCCACACGATTATGATGAGCCACTTCGCTCAGCTATCATTCGTGATAGCCAGGTCGCTTCTCAAACCGATCTATTTCACTCAGTGGGTCCTTAGCTGGTAAAATAAACAAATATGTAAGTCAGTTTTTGTACCAGTTGAAAGGGTAAAAACCTACTACTATATTTTGCCTACTGGTAAAGGAGGTCTCATAGTGTAAATGCTTACCCCGAGCTCTCAATACTCTGATAGTGCGCTGTCTTTGAGATGTACGCCTTTTGGCGTCATCTGGTCCAACACCAATGGAGACTAGGCTCTAAGAAAAGCTGTCTCGGGTGTGGACCAATCAACTTCAAGGACAGTGCATATCATTATCATCATCAGAGTTGTTTCTTTTTGTTTGCATTTTGACAGCTTGTGTTGTGGTTATTGCTAACATGATCCCTTGTATAAAGGTGTCAGTTTTGTACCAGTTGAAAGGGTGAAAACCAATTACTATGCAAGTTTCTATTCAGTGAATGTTTAGACACGCGTGAATGAGAACGCGCACTTCAGAGAGGTCCCCATCCTCGCCAGAGGTCGCAACCGGGTACCCGATACCCGTACCCGTACCCGGCCGGGTACGGGTACGGGTAGCCGTTTGCGACCCTGGTGCGGCCGGGTACGGGTACGGGTAGGCCGTGAGTCACTGGTGAGTCACCGTTTGTCACTCATTTCGGGTAGGGAATGGGTACCCGTACCCGGCTGGGTACGGGTACCCGACAGGCACGAGGGGTAGCCACTGCCCCCCACAGGTTCCACAATGACGACAGGTCAACTCGGCGCAGCGCTCCGTTTCTGTCGTGCGGGCCCTTCGCCCACGGCGCATAGTTTTTTTCACGGTGTGAACTGGATGCGACGCGACCGAGCCAACGGGGGGTAATAAGCGGTCGTGATACGGCCGCCTCGGCGGGGCGTCGTCAGCAGCACTGGGATGCTGCTGGATGCTTCTAGATGCTACCCGCGGCCTGCATACTCCGCATCTCACGCATCACCGCGGACTGCGCCTTACCCCCTACGTTATATACGTTATTCATTAGAACGCGATTTTATCCACTAAGCAGTGTTCTTCAGGAACGCAACCACTACCAACCACCGCCTTCTAGCAGAACACGACCATACATTCTCTCACCGCCTCCCTTCCCTCTCCTCCTCTCTCTGACCAAACACCCCGTTCCCCACCCCTCCACCGTTTCGTGAGCGACGCAGCGAGGCCAAACCCCTTTCCCCCACACCGTGCGCGCGGGGTCTCGGGGCCTCGTCGTCCGCGCGACAAAAGGTCACCACCGCCACCCGCCTTGCCGGCTCACCGAGGGGCCGACGGCGGCGCCGTCACCGCCGGTGCCGCCCCGAAGCTCGTGCACGCCGTGCCGGAGGAGGAGGCGAAGCTGTCCTCGTCGTACGTGTCCACGGAGCGCTGCCCGGGCGACTCCGCTCCGCGACTCTCCTCCTCCTGCTCCTCCTGTTCCTCCTGCTCCTCCGCCTTCTCCACGTCTGCGATATCCACGTCGTCGCGGCCACCGCCGCGTCCTGAATATTGCAGGTGGGGCGGGCCACAGCCGTAGGCAATTCCACAGGGCCGGTGACTCGCAGTGGCCACACGGCACTGCCTCCCATCGCACGACCGTGAGCCCCGGTAAACCCGCCCGCATCCGGCGTCCGGTTGCCGAACGAACACGCGCCCATTCCGCGCACGAAGTGCTCGCCACAAACGGACCGCAACACCCTCGGACCCGATCTCGTCAAGAAAGCGTAAACCATCGTCACGCGAACTCCGCTCATCCTCGCAAGCAGCGGATTTTGGCTGGCCGTCAAACAAAGACGGTCTCCGCATCGAGCGCTTTTAGATGCGCCTCTGCGGCCGTCTGGAATGCGATGTTAGGAAGCCTCTTTTTGAGTCATCTACGTCGAAAACTCATTTCTTTAGAACTGCTTTTTGTGTTCAGTTTGTTGTTCTATCCCCGCACCTCCGATTAGCACGCTTGGCTACGTACGGTGTGAAACAAGTTCAACACACATACATCATCACTGTCATCATCGATCGATCAACTGCTGGATCAAGGCCTCGCCAAGCCCTTAGCGAGCAGCACCTAATCAGGCAGGCACGGCACACGAGGGTGGTATGGCCAGCACCACACCCGGCCGTCTTTGTATCCCCAATGGCGCCGACGCCCCCTTCCTGCCACGGGCCCCCCCCCCCGCCACCCCCCTTCCTTACCGGTCTCCACGACCGGCGCCGCGCCGGCCGACGGGCCCAGGCCTGCCGGCGCCCCGTGCCGCCGCACGTAGATGGCGATGGCGCTGTTGGGACTGCCCCTCGCCAGCTCCTCCCAGGCCGGCGCCGCCGCCTCCGCCCGGGGCATCGCGCAGAAGTCGACCTCGGCGAGCCGCGACGCCAGCGACGGGGGCGGCCGGGGCGGCCGTGGGGCGGCTCCGGATCCGTCGAGCCGCTCCCGCCGGTCCGGCGGGGACGGCGACCTGGGCCGGGTCGTCGGCCACTGCGGCCGCTCGTCGTCGTCGTCGTCGGACAGCTCCCCCTCGCTCAGCAGGGGCCCCTCGCTCAGCGAGCCCGGGCTGTCGCTCAGAATCGACGACCGCTCCCCGCCGTGGTCGCGCGCTCCGCCGCCGTCGCCGCCGCCGCTGTCACCGCCGTCGGCGGGGTGCGACGGGCCGGGCCGCTGCGATGCGGCGGACCAGGAGGCCGCGTGCCGTAGCGGGGCGGGCCCCAGCGAGCGGTCGGCGAGGCGGCGCACGATGGCCGCCACGCGTTCCTCGTAGCTCGACGGCGGCGCGGCGGCCGAGGTCCCGGCGGGGCCAACCGCGGACCCCGGCAGGTCCCCCACGAACACCGCGTGCCCGTCCGGCGGGAAGCCGCCCGTCCAAAACGCCGGCGCCGCCTCGCCCTCTCGGCGGCGCTCGCCGCCGGCCCCCAGCATCTCCCGCACGCGGGCGCCGAAACGGTCGCCGGGCGACGCGGGCGACGCGGGCCCCCCCCCCCGTGCGCCGTCCGTGAAGTCCGTGCGCAGGTCCTCCAGGCCCAGGCCGCGGCCGGGGCCCTCCGGCTCGGCGGGGACGGAGCGGGCGAGGGCGGCCGCGGCGGCGGGCGACAGGAGGCCGACTCCGGCGAGGCGGCGCGTCTCCTCCTCCACGCGCAGCGACAGCGACGCGGCGGCGGCTACGGGCGGCGAGGTCGCACGCGCGAGACAAAGGTCGCTCCTGTGTAGACTTTTTACCCCCCCTCCGCGTTTAGAATCGACGCAGAGTATTCGTCCGCAATACATTTGCGCGCGGTGATAAGCCAGATAAGTCGAGCTGTCATTCGTGATAACCAGGTCACTTATGAAAAAGAGATTCATAGCTGATGGGGCCTTGCTTGGTAAAATGTCAGTTTATAGTTTAGATTAGCCTGCAACAGGCTATTATTGCCTGTTGATTCACCCCTCGGTTGGCTACGTACGGAGCGAGGGAAGTTCAACATATTGTACACACATACTGCCCATAGACTAACACTAATTATAGACTCAACAATGCCCATAGACTAACACTGCCCATAGACTAAACACTACCCATAGACTAACACTAACTATAGACTCAACACTGCCCATAGACTCAACACTGCCCATAGACTAACACTGCCCATAGACTAACACTGCCCATAGACTCAACACTGCCCATAGACTAACACTACCCATAGACTAACACTGCCCATAGACTAACACTGCCCATAGACTCAACACTGCCCATAGACTAACACTGCCCATAGACTAACACTGCCCATAGACTAACACTGCCCATAGACTAACACTGCCCACAGACTCAACACTACCCACAGACTCAACACTGCCCACAGACTAACACTGCCCACAGACTAACACTGCCCATAGACTAACACTGCCCATAGACTAACACTACCCACAGACTCAACACTACCCATAGACTCAACACTGCCCATAGACTCAACACTACCCATAGACTCAACACTACCCATAGACTCAACACTACCCATAGACTCAACACTACCCATAGACTCAACACTACCCATAGACTCAACACTGCCCATAGACTCAACACTACCCATAGACTCAACACTACCCATAGACTCAACACTACCCATAGACTCAACACTACCCATAGACTCAACACTACCCATAGACTCAACACTACCCATAGACTCAACACTACCCATAGACTCAACACTGCCCATAGACTCAACACTGCCCATAGACTAATACTACCCACAGACTCAACACTGCCCATAGACTCAGCGCTGCCCAAAGACTCAACACTAACCATAGACTCAACACTACCCATAGACTCAACACTACCCATAGACTCAACACTGCCCATAGACTCAACACTACCCATAGACTCAACACTGCCCATAGACTCAACACTGCCCATAGACTCAACACTGCACCATAGACTAAACACTGCCCATAGACTCAACACTGCCCATAGACTCAACACTGTCCATTGACTCAACACTGCCCATAGACTCAACACTGCCCATAGACTCAGCACTACCCAAAGACTAACACTAACCATAGACTCAACACTGCCCATAGACTCAACACTGCCCATAGACTCAACACTGCCCATAGACTCAACACTGCCCATAGACTCAACACTGCCCATAGACTCAACACTGCCCATAGACTCAACACTGCCCATAGACTCAACACTGTCCATTGACTCAACACTGCCCATAGACTCAACACTGCCCATAGACTCAGCACTACCCAAAGACTAACACTAACCATAGACTCAACACTGCCCATAGACTCAACACTGCCCATAGACTCAACACTGCCCATAGACTCAACACTGCCCATAGACTCAACACTGCCCATAGACTCAACACTGCCCATAGACTCAACACTGCCCATAGACTCAACACTGCACCATAGACTCAACACTACCCATAGACTCAACACTACCCATAGACTCAACACTGCCCATAGACTCAACACTGTCCATTGACTCAACACTGCTGATAGACTCAACACCGCACCGGCGATTAGTGCGGTTGGCTACGTACGGTGCGAGAGGACTTCAACGCACTGCACACACATCCAGCTACCCAATCTCCGTCGTGCCGCCCACGTGGTCCTCTTGCGTGGCTAACACCGCCGGCGAGCCGGGGGCCTCACCGCGAATGGCGGCGATCCGCGCCAGCTGCCCGCCGATGATCGCCGGGGACGCCGCCGCCGCCGTTTCCGCCGCCGTCGCCGCGCCGGTGCCCGGGGCTCCAGACTCCTTCCCCGGCGTCCCCGCCAGCGCCAGCCGGTCTCCGCCGGACCTGGTGGGCACGCGCCCCGCACGCGGTTGGTCACCGTGGGCGCGCCGCCGCGTGTGACCGCGTGGGGAGAGGGGGCTAAACGCTCGCGCGGCGCTGTCGGGATGCGCTTCTGCGGCCGTCTGGAACGCGAAGACCGAGGCTTCGTGGGGCGGCTGGGCCTAGAGGAGGATTCTCCAGGACGGGCAGTTTCGTGCGTCACTCACCGTGTTTGTATGTGTGTGCGTGTGTGTGTTTCTGTGTCTTTTGGTGTATCGGTGTGCGGTGTGCGTGTGTCTGTAACAGCACTTGCACTAACATTGTCTCACGCAAACTCCGGTCATCCTCGTCGCAGCTTTTGGCTGGCTGATCACCGCATCGCGCACTTTCAGATGCGCTTCTGCGTGCCGTCTGGAGCACTCTTCCTTCCGATGAAGGAAGAAAGTTGACGTGAACGCACGCTGCAGGCAGTGCTGGATTATCGTAGTAGCACAAGTAGCTACATGTGTAGTAGCTACATGTGTAGTAGCTACATGTGTAGTAGCTACATGTGTAGTAGCTACATGTGTAGTAGCTACATGTGTAGTAGCTACGGGCCCCGCACTTTCAAGGGCCCCGCATGAAATGCTTTCAAGCTATCAACTCCGGTTCAGCGATTCCACATTTGCTCTATTACTATACTACTATACCGCCTTCAATTTTTATGAGCGACTGGGTGTTTAAGCTTAGCGATTTGTCATATTATCTGGCTGTGTAGCAAATGAAAAAATACAATTACTTTACTAGGGCTCCTTTATAACATATGCTACAGGCCCTGCACTAGCTTAATCTGCCACTGGCTTCTCACACCTTTTCAACAACCAATGTGTCGGAGTCGTTAAACAAACATACATCCATAAACGGGCGTGGCACAGGCTAGACAAGAGATGGGCTGATGCGGTACAGGAGCATGTGGACCTGAGTGGACTCGCCGAGTATGTTCGTGACGGACGGCACGGCTGGGCAGTTAGGAGGCAGTCGCCCACCAACAACAGCGGAGGGCGGAGGAGCGACGCTCACAACAACGAGCGGAGCGCCGGGGCAGATAAAACATGGCGAGTTGGCATAGTGGGAACCACCAGTTGTGCATCTGCACCACCTGGTCAGCCAACCCATGGCACCTGGGTCTGTCCCATGACCCACTTGCCAGCCGTAATCCTTTGACCCTTCACACGGCCTCGAGGTGCACCTAGCCTGGCACAATCGGCGAACGGCGGCCGTTTGTCGCCGCGTGCGTGTGTTGAGTGGCGGCCGCGTGCCGAGCTCTTGTGCACTCACCCGGCTGGTGGGCTCGTGGCGTCGCCAGCAGAGTCCCCCTCCCCCTGTTCCTCATCCTCCTCCTCATCATCCTCCTCATCATCCTCCTCATCGTCGTCCTCCGGGCTGCTGGAGGTCACGGGAGGACGCGAGTCCCCGTCCTGCTGCTTCCTTCTCGGCCTCTCCTCCGAGATCTCGGGCAGCAGCCGCCTCTGCGAACAGCAACGCGGCAAGACACTGAAGCACAGAGCACGGGCAGGAGCAGCAGCAGCTGTAGTGGCAGCAACAGCAGCAGCAGCAGCAACAGCGGTGGAAGTAGCAACGACAGCAGCGGCAGCAGTAACAACAGCAGCAGTGACAGCATCAGCAGTGGTAGCAGCAGTGGCAGCAGCAGCAGCAGCAACAGCAGTGGAAGTAGCAACGAAAGCAGCGGCAGCAGTAACAACAGCAGCAGTGACAGCATCAGCAGCGGTAGCAGCAGTGGCAGCAGCATCAGTGGCTGCGCCGGTCTGGTAGTCAAAGGACAGAGAGCACTTCCCATGTAGACCAGTGGTTCTCACAGCGCTGTGGTTCTCACCAGGCGAGGTACTGAACATCTCGGTGGTTCTCACCACGGCGCTGCAACGCAACACAGTCGGACACCCGACAAAATTACCCATCAGCCACCAGCCCAGAGATGGAATAAAGTGTGCGTGGCCATTGCCCGTGGTGGCTTGTGTCTGCCCATCATACGGCCTTGTGGAACCCGAGTCGAGGTGTCGATCGCGTCGATTCTGCCCACAGTCGATCCGACACCCATGCCGAGAGCATCGATTCATCAGCGGGGGTTGATTGCCGCCGCGTCAATACGTTGGCAGGCGATCCGTGGATCGACCAATCCCATTGGTTGGGTGCGGCAGTCGTGCCCGCTGTTTTTGATCGGCCGATATCTAAGCGATCGGCGATTCGCTCGCAAGTTCGTTTTCATCGCACGACCAATCAAGTCCTTTCCCCATCGTTTCAAACTGCCGCTCCGGGAGATACGAGAACTATTCTTGTTGCCCACACAATGCACGAGCTTGGATACGGGCTGGTTTGGCTGATGCAGCTCCTTACGATAAAAATTTCCCTCCCTTTATTACTGCTAATCCTACTTCCTCGCCTTAATCACCACTAATCCTACGTAATACACGAGAATAATATGAATTTGAGACCCCCCCCACCACCACCACCTACACATTCCACAAGGAGTGACTAATCCCATATCTGCATTTTCCATCAATATGCTTAATTCCGGTGTTGATATGTAAACTTCTTTGTCAAGGCGCTTTCCTCCCCCCGACCCAGCTGAAACATACGCTGCCAAGCTTGGCGGTGTTCATGGGACGCTGTCTTTCTGACAGCTCTGTTCTTCACCTGAGGACTGCTACTTGCGTTGTGGCCGAAACGTCGTGAGAATTTAAATTTTATGATGTTTAATTTTTATTATTTTATTATTTCCCTTCTACGTGACTTTACCGAAAGAACCAAGAAGATGAATGCCTGCAGTCACGAAAGCTTTAAATCGAAAGATGGTAAGCCACTTCGTTGAGCGGCTATCACTTGTGACAGCCAAGTCGCTTCTGAAAAAAAACTAGGTAGCAGCTCAGCGGAGCCTTACCTGGGGTCAAACAAAAATGGTAAGGTAAGGGTCCCCCCCCCCCCCCCCCCCGCTTAGCTGTGTAGCTATTTTTCAGACGCGACCACCTGCCCATCGCACATGACAGCTCGACGAAGGGTGGCGGCTTCTCGTCGTCGCGGGCAATTTCGCAGCGGCAGAAAAATACTCGGTGGACGCGCGTCGATTCTGAAATGGAGGGAAAAACCGGAGGATCCAGAGTAAAAAAAGAATCCACGCGACCATAGGGAGAGAGAACACGGAAACTCCAAATATACAGGCATCGTCGGGGTCGAACCCACGACCTCCTGTATACCAGGCGAGGTAGTTAACATCTCGGTGACGAGACGCTAACTACCTCGGTGCGCTGTGACGGAGCGCCGTGACGGAGCCCTGTGACGGAGCTCTGTGGCGGAGCGTCGTGACGGAGCGCCGTGACGGAGCTCCGTGACGGAGCTCTGTGACGGAGCGCCGTGATGGAGCGCCGTGACGGAGCGCCGTGACGGAGCGCCGTGACGGAGCGCCGTGATGGAGCGTCGTGACGGAGCCCTGTGACGGAGCTCCGTGACGGAGCGTCGTGACGGAGCGCCGTGACGGAGCCCTGTGACGGAGCTCTGTGATGGAGCGCCGTCACGGAGCGCCGTCACGGAGCGCCGTGACGGAGCGCTGTGACGGAGCTCTGTGACGGAGCGCTGTGATGGAGCGTCGTGACGGAGCCCTGTGACGGAGCTCTGTGACGGAGCGTCGTGACGGAGCACCGTGACGGAGCCCTGTGACGGAGCTCTGTGACGGAGCGCTGTGATGGAGCGCCGTCACGGAGCGCCGTCACGGAGCGCCGTGACGGAGCGCTGTGACGGAGCTCTGTGACGGAGCGCTGTGATGGAGCGTCGTGACGGAGCCCTGTGACGGAGCTCTGTGACGGAGCGTCGTGACGGAGCGCCGTGACGGAGCCCTGTGACGGAGCTCTGTGACGGAGCGCTGTGATGGAGCGCCGTCACGGAGCGCTGTGACGGAGCTCTGTGACGGAGCGCTGTGATGGAGCGCCGTCACGGAGCGCCGTCACGGAGCGCCGTGACGGAGCGCTGTGACGGAGCTCTGTGACGGAGCGCTGTGATGGAGCGTCGTGACGGAGCCCTGTGACGGAGCTCTGTGACGGAGCGTCGTGACGGAGCGCCGTGACGGAGCGCCGTCACGGAGCGCCGTCACGGAGCGCTGTGACGGAGCTCTGTGACGGAGCGCTGTGATGGAGCGTCGTGACGGAGCCCTGTGACGGAGCTCTGTGACGGAGCGTCGTGACGGAGCGCCGTGACGGAGCGCTGTGACGGAGCTCTGTGACGGAGCGCTGTGATGGAGCGTCGTCACGAAGCTCTGTGACGGAGCTCTGTGATGGGAATTTCTGGACAGGGAAACAGGAAGTGCCGTCACCAGGAAGTCGTCGCGTGCCGCGTGGTCGAGGGGCGCCGCCGTGAAGGTGCTCGCCAGGTCCACTTTGTCCTGCTCACACACGGCGTACACACACAGTGTATACACAGTGTACACACACAGTGTACACACACACACAGTATGTACACACACAGTGTACACACACACACAGTATGTACACACACACAGTGTACACACACAGCGTACACACACACAGTATGTACACACACAGTGTACACACACACACAGCGTACACACACACACACAGCGTACACACACACACACAGTGTACACACACACAGTGTACACACAGTGTACACACACACACAGTGTACACACAGTATGTACACACACAGTGTACACACAGTATGTACACACACAGTGTACACACACACACAGCGTACACACACACAGCGTACACACACACACACAGTTTACACACAGTGTACACACAGCGTACACACACACAGTGTACACACAGCGTACACACACACAGTGTACACACAGTGTACACACACACACAGTGTACACACACAGTGTACACACATAGTGTACACACACACACAGCGTACACACACACACAGTGTACACACAGTGTACACACACACACAGCGTACACACAGTGTACACACACACACAGCGTACACACACACACAGTGTACACACACACACAGTGTACACACAGTGTACACACACACACGGCGTACACACACACAGTGTACACACACACACAGTATGTACACACACAGTGTACACACACACACAGCGTACACACACACACACAGCGTACACACACACAGTTTACACACAGTGTACACACACACACAGCGTACACACAGTGTACACACACACACAGTGTACACACACACACAGTGTACACACACACACAGCGTACACACACACACACAGCGTACACACATACAGTTTACACACAGTGTACACACACACACAGTGTACACAGTGTACACACACACAGTTTACACACAGTGTACACACACACAGTGTACACACACACACAGCGTACACACAGCACACACACACAGTGTACACACAGCACACACACACAGTGTACACACACACAATGTACACACACACAGTGTACACACACACACAGTGTACACACAGTGTACACACGCACAGTATATACACAGTGTACACACGCACAGTACACACACAGTGTACACACACACTGTACACACACAGTGTACACACAGCACACACGGTGTACACACACAGCGTACACACACAGCGTACACACAGCACACACACACTAAACACAGCGTACACACTAAACACAGCGTACACACAGCACACACACAGTAAACCTCCCTCTCGCCCGTGCACCTCACCTTGCCACCAGGTGCCCTCCGACCGCCATTGCCGTCGCTCTTCTTGTTGCCGCCACCACCACCACCGCTACTGGCGGCGGTGGTGGTGGCGGCGGCGGTGGTGGTGGCGGTGGTGCTGGCGACCGCCGCCTGGCGCTGGGCCACGTAGAGCTCCCGCAGGCGCCGGCTCCTCAGCTCAGAGGCGGCGCGGCGGGCGGCTCGGTCGCGCGCCGCCGCCCGCCGCTGCTCGGCGCCGCGCCGCGCCATGTAGCACCGCACCTCCTCCGCGTCATAGTGACGCCGCTTCTCCCGCTGCGCCGGCGCCGCGCTCTGCTGCTGCTGCTGCTGGCGCTGTTGCTGCTGCTGCCGTGACGTCGGCCGCAGCGACGTCCGCGTCGCTGCGGGCGCCGGTGCCGCCGGTGCCGCCGATGCCGGCGGCGCCAAACCCCAAGGTCCCGGTACGTGGGCGTCTCTGCTCCTAGAGCGCTGCGCGATAAACGTGCGATTAATGTAGAGTACGCGCGCGTGCGTGTGTGCGTGTTGAACTTCTTTCGCGCCGTACGTAGCCAACCGTGCGAGCTGCCAATGACAATCTGCGTGCTCGGCGTTGCGCAGTCGCAACAGAGCCGTGGCCGAGAACGATCTCGCCGCGGTTGCGAGATGTCAACCACCTCGCCCGGCACGCAAGAGATCGTGGCTTCGAACCCCGACTCTTGACGTTTTTGACCTCGAAGCAAACACCGCGACGGCGATTGCTGTCGTCGCTTTGATTCTGAGTCGTTTGCAAAGGCCCGGTTTACGAATGTCGGCCGCGCAGGTCTGGTGACCACGCCGACGGGAGAGGAGAGAACGTTCCTCCGGCTACGCTCGAGCGGTTCCCCGTCACGAAGGCGGTTCCTGTCCGCGCCGCCTGCGCTGCCACGGCAGCAAGCGCCAGCTCGTTAGAATCTCATCGGGGGGGACGGGGATGGGGGGATCGGTACCGATGACGCCGAGACGCCGGGACGGCCCCTCTTGCCGGGCGGACGACGCTCGCCGCTGCCCCCTTCCCCGTGGCCCTCGCCTCCCTCGGCCTTCCTCTTCGGGGAGGTCCCGTGCTGCACTGCGGCCTCCTCCTCTCCGTCGTCGGCCCGCGCCCGACCCCTGACCTCGGGCACCGATCGAGGGGGCGCCGGGCGCGAGGACGGGGGCACGCTGGCTTCTACGCGCCGTCGGGAGAAGCGAGAGAGAGAGGGCGAGAGAGAGCGGTGGACGCGGGTGAGCCATCGTGCGAACGGAGAGAGTGGCGATCGAGCGAGCGTGTGCTTGAGCGAGCGAGCGTGCGACGGAGTGAGTGGGCGATTGAGCGAGCGGTGCTTGAGCGAGCGAGCGTGCGACGGAGTGAGTGGGCGAGCGAGCGAGCGTGTGCTTGAGCGAGCGAGCGAGCAGGTAAGCGGTGTAGTTCAGGCTCACCCTCGTCGACTCGCAGGTCGCTGACTGTGAGCGGCTCCTCTGCGACGTCTCCCTCCCACCCGCGTCGCCACTTTCCCAGCTCCCCGTCGCGACTGGCCGATCTCCGGGCCCCTCCGGCTCCCCGCAGCGGCGAGGGCCGTCCCCCGTGGTAGCTGGACGTCCCGGCCGGGACGCCCTGCGGTAACGAGAAGGAGGCAGGCGAAGGCCGAGACTTTCTGGGACGACTGGGCCTAGAGAGGGCTTCTCTGGGACGGGCCTTTGGCGTGCGTCCCTCACCGCGTTTGTGAATGTGTGCGCGTTTGCCGTGCCGGCCTTCATAGGTGCTGCTCGCTAACAGCATTTGCCCCAACAATCTGTTGAAGGCTATATGGGGGATCTTTGTCTCTGCTCTATACACACACCAAAGATCCCCCGTATAGCCTTAACAGACTGTAGGGGCAAGTGCTGTTAGCGAGCACCTATGAAGGCCAGAACGGTACACGAGGGGGTGGGTGGCCAGCACCACGCCCGATCGCCTTTGTCTCCCAAGTGGTGATGTTTACACACCGCACCAGGTACTCATTTGAGGCTGAGTCGACCTAGGGGAGGCCCGGGACCGGTTCAGATAATCGTCACTGGTGTTGGCCGTGAGCAGAAATCGAACCCGGGTTGCCGGGTTCATAGCGCAGCGCGCTAACTGCTACACTACCGCTACACACACACACACGTACACACACACACACGTACACACACACACACACACGTACGTACCGTCCGTGGGGGGCTCCTTCTCCGCGCGGCTGGGGTCGTGGGTCGCGGGTCCCAGCAGGGCCCGCACAGCCTCGCTCCGTCGCGCCACGACGACGTGGTGATGATGCGCGACCCTGGCAGGCGCACAACAAGCAACGTCGTCGTCACCTCCTCGTCCTCGCCGCTCGCGACGCCGCCCACCGTCGCAGCGTCATCGTCGACGATGCTCCGGCCGCCCCTGTCCACCCTCCCCCCCCCCCCCCAACCACCCGGGGTCGAGGCAGCTGCTCGACCGGGGCGCCTGGACAGGATCCCCGTTCGCGATCGTAGGTGAAAGAACCCGGCGGAAACTTCGGAGGAGAAAACGGAGCGGCGTGCTGCGTGCGACGCAGTGGTGGGGGGGGAGACGCTCACAGACTCTTCGCTGTTGTGAACACGGCCGCCGAGGGGGAGGGGCGTGGGGCCCAAAGACACAAACGCCAAGCGGCCTGCGACGAACGGCACCAGTGTCGAAGTTGTGACAGGTAAGAGTGCAAACGGGCGTCTATGAATTGAGCGAGGTTATGGTCAACAGAGTTGGGGAAAGGCGATGATGGTGGTGGTGATGGTGATGGGAAGAATCAGAGAGAGGAGTGAGGGGGCCTGCAGTGTGGTGAGTCGTGGATATTTGGGGTGAGTGTGTAAGTGGTTGGGTGTGTGAGTGATAGCGTGACTGAATGTGGTGCGTGTGTGAGTGGAGTGTGCGGAGTGAATGTGCGAGCGAGTGTGCGAGTGTGCGAGCGAGTGTGCGAGTGAGTGAGCGAGTGTGCGAGCGAGTGTGTGAGTGAGCAAGTGAGCGAGTGTGCGAGTGAGTGAGCGAGCGAGTGTGTGAGCGAGTGTGCGAGTGAGCGAGCGAGTGTGCGAGCGTGTGTGCGAGTCAACGAGTTGTTGTGACCTGCAGTGTGGTGGTGGTTTCGACGAAACAGTCTGGTATCAACCAAGTCCTCAACTTGGAAGGAGGAGGAACTTCTACCTGCAATCTGTGCATCTGATGTAACTCCCAATATGCTGGCGGGATGCTCATTCACGGAGACGCCCCACGGCATCGCTCACTGGGCGACTGGGCATTGTGAACTCTTCACGGCGGCACCGTTACGCGGCGCTGCCACCCAGGCCGCAACCCGGGGCAGCCGGGCCAGTTGGCTCGACGCGGGGGCGGTCGGGCGACGCCGACATATTCACCGAGATCCGGCGCCAGCGTCGCGCGGGCGGTGCCGAGACGCTAACGGCCTCGCCCGCGCGCAGGAGGTCGCGGGCTCGCTGGTTCGATCCCGACGAAACTCGCCGCAAGCGATGCCCCCCCCCCCACGCGCCACCCACAGCCCCCCCACGACGCCGACCCCCGGGGCGGGGGCGACTCGGGCCCGGCGTTGGCGGGCGAGTTAATCGCGGGGCGTCGCGTGCGGTCGCGCCGCGCGTTCCGTCACGCGGAGCGCCAAACCTCGCTATACGCACGAGGAGGAGGGGGGGGGGCAGGTGAGGTTGGGGGGAGGGTGGTGGGGGACGTGGGGCACGCCCATCACTGGGCCGCTCCATCCATCAGACACGGAAGCGAATTGAATTGGATTCCTGTCGGGACGCGGAGAGAGAGGGCAGAGGGGAGAGCGAGGGGAGAGCGAGGGGGAGAACGAGGGGAGAGCGGGGGAGAGCGGGGGGGAGAGCGGGGGGAAGAACGAGGGGAGAGCGGGGGGAGAGCGGGGGTAGAGCGGGGGGAGAGCGGGGGGAGAGCGGGGGGAGAGCGAGGGGAGAGCGGGGGAGAGCGGGGGGAGAGCGGGGGAAGAGCGACGGGGGAGAGCGAGGGGAGAGCGAGGGGAGAGGCGGGGGAGAGCGAGAGGGGAGAGCGGGGGAAGAGCGAGGTGGAGAGCGAGGGGAGAGCGGGGGGAGAGCGGGGGAGAGCGAGGGGAGAGCGAGGGAGAGGCGGGGGGGAGGAGGCGGGGGGAGAACGAGGGGAGAGCGAGGGGAGAGCGGGGGGGAGAGCGGGGGGAGAGCGAGGGGAGAGCGGGGGGGAGAGCGAGGGGAGAGCGGAGAGCGGGGAGAGCGGGGGAGAGCGGGGG